TTCGAATTTGAATACCAACTATCCACTTGAGTGAACACAATATTTGTAGTCCACTTTCCACGAGTCACACAATTTGAGTAGTGCGGCTTTGCCTGGGAATCTTCCGGTAAAATATCCAACTAGTCCATAACCCCAAGCTTCATCAATATTGTCTATGTCTTCTTCACTGATAATTACCTCTTTTGACGGATTGTCGGTAAATTCCAGTTTGAGACTTTCATCACAATTACGATTGTAATTAAATGGATTAACCCAATGGGCATTGGTATCACTATTGTTGTCTCCTTTAGGTTGTTTTGTTTCCTCATGGGACTTCTTCACCTACTCATCTGAGTCCGTGTCCTCCATACCAAGGGTATGAGATACATTTGGCGATTTAATAGGTGTATCGGCCACAAGAACATTTCCCTTGCATGTAGTTTTATCAGTCGAGAGGCTGACATTAACCAGACCATAGGCAGCAGGAAGTGAAAGTATTACTGGGAACACATGCCCAACCCGTGAGCACGCAAGAGTTACACCAAGGCCAGTCGAGGGAGCAGGCCCATGCGAAAGGGTTGATGTTTTTTTCCTATCCTAAAGCTGAAGAAGACCAAGGAAAAGAAGGAGAAAATGCCTAGAGAGAGGCCCAGAAAAAGAATTAGCCCAGAAGGCTTACACAGGCCCACAACAGAGGCGCATCCTCACCCCAAACAGAAAACAGAGATGGCTCCCAAGCCCCAAAACAGGCCCAAGGCAGGAAGAGCAGTCCAAGACAACACCAACAATCCAACAAGAATGATAAGTACATTTTTACACATTTATCGTATTTTTAAACGTGGAAAATTGTTGATTAATATGTTGAAATATAGGTTAATTCTATGTAATTTACATTTTGCAGGACAAAGTGATGAATGTACCGGAAATAAGGAGAAACAAGTGAAAAATAACCAAAATAGAGGAAAACAGAAGTTCAGGGACCAAGTTGCAAATAATCCATAGATGTGACGAGCGATTGAGTGAAAATTGAGGGTGTTAGAGATCAATTGGACAAGGAAAAAAGTCAAAGGGATGAAATACAATCATAGCATGATCACACATCAATTTTCAATCGAAAAGTTTTGCACCGATTTTTAACCTCATATTGAGACTAGTTTTTGACATGGAAAACGATCGAAAATGGGGAGAAAAATTTAGCCCTTGTTTGACATTCCTTTTTTTCTCATTCTCATTTTTT